TTTTTTTTTTTCATTTTAGCTAAAGAAATATTACTTTTTAATAACTAAAACAAACAAATTTTTAGCACTCGAATGGCTTTTCAGTATTTTTACTGACAAGCTCAAACCGGTTTTTCAGAGCGAGTTTGCAACGATCATCGGCGGACGGCAAACTTGCAGACAGACCAGGGCCACAAATCCTAAGATTTCTACAGTTTTCCATTCTTATCTCGATTAGAAATATCATCTATGAAGAAAAGACTTCGAAAGGTTGTTACTGAAAAATTGAAAACAAGTTTAAAGTCATATTTTGAGTCTTATTTGGACGAACGAAACTCGTCGAAGTCAGTAGTAGCCCTGACTTGCCAAGCAGACTTCAAAACCTACTTCATGTTTACTTGTGAAAGAAAGCGTACTAGTAGTAGACATTCTCAATCAAAAAGTAGCTGAAAAACTCAAACACAGAAACATTTCATAAATTCATCCCATAACTTGTTCTGGCATGGAATATTCAAGAAAAAATGACAAGCGAAACAGCTTTAGTTTTCTGCAAGAAACGGCGTGCAAGAAACGGCGAAGGCCGCTCAATTTTTGTTTACGTAGATGAACTGATCTTGACAAACTTTAAAATGTATTACACTACCATGCAGGTATTTAATAAATAGTATTTTAATAATTAATTGTGACGTTATATTTATGAGTTTTGGGGTATTTTTTCGTTTGAAAACGTTGCTTTTATCGAGTTAAACTTAACTAACTTAAATGTGTTTTTGTTTTTGCTACTTAATTTGCAAAAAATAAAAATATTTTGCTTCTTGAAATCTAGAGAAAGTGAATAGACAAGTTGTTGGGAACTAAAACAATTAGATAATAACTTTTGCCAGGGTTTTACACGGATTTTGTGAGTAAATTGTTGAAATAACGCAAGTGTTTTTAAGGTAGCTTATCGGGGCGTTGAATTCAGGTTTCTCAGAGTTGAATTCAGGTTTCTCACCGTTGAATTCCACTTGAAATACCCTCTCATCCGGTTGACGTGTTGACCAATCAACGCACGACTTTAAAATTGAGGTATGAGATTCTATAAAAAATAGTCCTAGCTATTTCTATGTAATTTGATATTCAACGAGAGAAATAAACGCTCTAAGGAAACACTAAAAGATAACTAGTCGCTCCATACATTTACTACCAATATGAAAATTGACCACCTATCAAAACTGCAATGCATAGACCTGATCGGCCTACGCGTTACCATGTGCGTTACCACCCAATTCAAATCCTGTGCGAAAAAGAAACTTTTGTTTCTAAGAATTCAGCTGTGAAATGAAAATACGAAGAAACAAACTTACTACCAGGTGGTCTGAACTGGATGGAAACGTTTATAACAACGCGTTATTCGATAAGTCCATTTCCTGCAAATATCGTATGTGTTAAAAGTGGCATCGATATATTATGTGGGATCCCTGTGTTTTGTTAGAGTTTTTTTAATTTAAACCTCTTAGCCATCTTGCCGAAACACTTCGACCTCGTCTGGCTGAAAGTTGTACGATCCTGCAAGAAGGTTCTGTGCTTTAGTTGATCCATGTGTGTAGCCCTTAATCAGTACATAGCTATTTCCAGGGTTCGTAGAGGAGACTGTGTTGCTACCAGCATTATTACTAATAATCATGTCATTGCCGCCTCCAAAGATTGGTCCCCAGCTGCTACTTCCATAAATTGCATACTGCGATCTGTAAACTTTCATTTTAAACGGCGTCAAGTTGTCTTTGTTAACGAATGAAAACAGGAACGAGTTGACTGATTTGCTCCAACTACCTTTGGAATCTTAAAAAAGAAAACAATTATAATACGTTATTGTTAGCATAAAAAGCTGTACCAATGTGATGGACTTCCTGTGTTAACCCTCGAATATAGCAAAGATCAACAACTGGAATACTTACGCCAGCTGACGTCTGTATAGCCTCCAAATATGTATTTGTTCACTTTGATGATTGTAATAGTCGGCCCTTGACCATCACACCTTGCGTGGAATGTCTTACTGGCCCATCCGTGAAGTCTGCTTTGGTAGCATGGTACCCATCTGATCGGATTATTTGTCACTGGAGCCAGCCATTCTGTCATTAATTCATAATAATCCTCTCGATTTTTTAGGATGTTTGAATTCAGTGTATGTCCTGAGAGAAAATTAAACAACAAACCATCACAATTGGAATTAAAATGAAAAATAGATTTTACTACATTATCAAATATTTATTTTTATTGTCATCCTTTTTTCAGTTTGAAAAGAAATTGTTTATCAAATATTTATTTTTATTGTCATCCTTTTTTCAGTTTGAAAAGAAATTGTTTATCAAATATTTATTTTTATTGTCATCCTTTTTTCAGTTTGAAAAGAAATTGTTTATCAAATATTTATTTTTATGTCCTAGCCAGCTGTAAGTCACAACTGGTTTCCAGCTGGACGTTGATATATCTTAGTCATCATCGTTTTTCTGGTGATTTGAGGGGTATAGAGTCGTATAGAATGTCATATAACAATGGCATATATCAAATTGTTGTCGCAGAATGGACAAGATGATAGCTACTACTGATGAGACACGTGACTTTTGTAAACATGTAAACTCGCTCTTTTGTCTGAGGTCACGTCTATTTCCCTTGTCAATGTTGACATGTAAGGTTTTAAAAGTATGTCGTTTAAAGTTAAAAATAACTTAAATTGCATATTACAGGTCAATAGGATATATTGTTCGCATTTTTAAAAGCGGATTTTTTCTTCTTTTTTTTTCGTAACAAAATAACTGTTACGTTTTTTCACTGTTAGTGTTATAAGGCCTGAAATTTTAATGTTTCGTGTTACAGAGGCCAAAAGCAAAGGCAGCCCCATTCAGACCCTCTGTTATGGCTACAGACTGTATATACTTAAACGCACTTTCTTAAGGCATTTTCAAACAGTTAACTCTCTTTGAACGAGCACTCTACTAAGCGACCATCTTCCGTAAGCGACCACCTTTTAAATGTCCCTTTTGTTCAGTTTCCCATATAAAATCTGTAAAAAAAACTTTCTCTTAAGCGACCATCTCTCGTAAGCTACCACTTTTTCCTGATCCCGAGGTGATTGCTTACGAGAGAGTTGACTATATTAAATTAATTGCGATCAGCGATCGTTTACTTACTTTTACAGTGCGGTTTTTCAGTGGTAAAATGTCCTTTCCAATCTGTCCAGTTTCCTGTGTTGGAATCGCATAACAAATGGCGGTTGTTTCCGCGCATCCAGTAACCGGGTTTACAGTTGAAAGTGAGTGTGCTGTTGCCCGGGAAATCACTTACGATGTATCCATTCTCAGGTGGAGCCGGCATCTTAGTACAAAGACGACGACCTGTGAGACAGAAAATCTGATCACTTATTAAGAAGCGTTCATTACATAGGTGCAACTACAGAAAGATACTGTTCTAAATTGATATAAGAGGGAAATGCGCGATGATAATAACGTCACGTTAGACATAAATAGAGACGAAATGTCAATTTTGGAATTGCAGAGGTACATCATGAGATACATAACGTGGATAATAATATACATGAAAAATTAGTCAATTCTGATTGGCTGATAACATCTCAAGTGCAATTACATTTCTCCAGTGCAATTAAAAGAGCCGTCCCAGGGTGATGCTTTGCGCGCCTCGATTTACAGCGAAGACCTTGATCAGCGCCATTTTCGATGACATCGAAATTATTCGTAGTACTAGCTTACACAATCCGTCTAAAATCTGAGACATCTCTAGGTTTTTCCTTATAAATTCGATATATATTAGTTCTATATTCATTTTCCTGAATTATTTCGAATATTGAGTCTTTTTTAAACGTCTTATTTTGAGTTTTCCGATATGGCTCCAAATCAACGTAACGGAGATCTTCTCGCGGTCGTCCACGCCGGAAAGAAGAAATAACTGAGGGATATCACGTTCAAAAGGCCACGACATACGAACATTGGAAGGAAACAAAGGACAGAAAGGGTCTTTTACAGTTGAATAATAGTGAGTTTGTGGAACTGTTGCTGACAGCCTGCGAGTCGGCGCTGTGTTTTTGTTCTGCTACACGAATTTTTGCAAGAGCAAAACTATACTGAAGCCACGATAAAAATACAAATCAGCCGTTACTTCTACTACCAAAGAGAAGACGAATACTCATTAATGATAGAGTTAACTAATATTGCACTATTGCACTAATACTCCTTTGGCGAGCTTGATCGGTCGCTCTAGTACTTCATCTTGTTCGTTTCATGGCTCGAATATTCCGAAGAAACGTCTGATTCATCACCTAATTAGCTACCGACTGTCATAAACAGGCATTTTAAATCGAGATCTAGTAAGAAGTTTTGGAAATATTAAAGATACTTTGGTATTATTCGTTTTACACGTTGGACAAATGCCGAATGTAAACAATAACATAAGCGCGCAAAGCATCACCCTGGGACGGCTCCTTTAAAACAGACTGAGCAGTGCAAAAAGCTGTAATCAGTGTAATTACAAACGAAATTTGCGCTTTTGATTGGCTAAAAAACAAAAGAAATGTTTTCAGCCAATACGAATCAATCTTTCTTTGTCTCTGAAAACTTTTCTCAAGAATCCAAGATGGCGGACACTTCCACCGATAACAGAGAAAAAAGTACTCAAAAACTATCAACAAGTGCTTAAAAGAAATAACAAAAGCTTTCTCACTGAAGAATTGGACCTGTTAGTTTTTCAAAGAGCCAAATTGCGTTCGGCCTACGGTCTCACGCAATTATGGCCTGTTTGAAAAACAATTACTCGTGCAAATTAATTCCAAATTGAACTCGAAACCATCTTATTATCTATATATACTTATTCCTAAACGTAAATGAGCTGAGTGAAACACGGCTATATAGGAATAGTTACATGATGCAAAAATTTTGCTAACTAGAGAAGTAACACATACAGTTAGTAAAAAAAACCCTTCAACATCTGCTATGTCTCCTATACGTACATGTGATAAAAACTTAGTAAAACGTTATAGTGCAAGTAAGAAGGAAAGAAAATATTACATACATGATGGAATAAAGTTGCTCCATGCACCATTTTCTAGACAAAGTCGGTTTGATGGTCCCACCAAGTAGTAACCAGGATCACAAGTATAAAATACCATATTTCCAGCCCAGAACTCATTACCAGTGCGATACCCATTCAGGGGTTTTCCAGGATCGCCGCAGCTCATTAGGGCTGTAATAATAAAGAATATTTTTTATATAATCTATTAGCTATTGTAGACTTAGCCCTTCATTTGTCATTTGTGGAATCGTTGTTAAACTTACAGACTTGTATTGTAGTTTCAGCCGTTCCATTCTCGTAGTTTCTAAAAAAGCATTTGTATCGTCCTTGGTCTTCAGGCATGAACGAATCAATGACCAACTCGCCTATAGTTTCTTTATTGGTCTGGCGAACTGTAGTGTTTACAGATAAGGGTCGGCAATCTTTGCTCCACTCGATCGTTGGCAGTGGCGATCCAGTAGCCGAACAGTTTAATTTGACGCGGCTCAAGATTTTGTTCACCGTCACATTATTAGGAGAGGATTGTACGATGACTGGAGCAACTGGAAACATCATAATTATTGTCAAAATCATCAAGACAAGAGCAAATTGAATTTAAATTAATGTTAGACTGCGTCTCCCTGACATTTAGTTMATAAGTTARTGATAGATTTTGTAACAATTTTAATTGAKTCGTCAGCAGTTTTATAGTTTGTTCTAGAGATTGAAATATGCCAAGTCATGTACCTGTAGTTGTAAACTACCAGGAAATCAGTTTTAAGTTACCAGTAGACTCAGTTTTGATGTCCAGCAATTTTTATGCTGCAGGGTTAAGATCAATTTTGAATTTACAGAATAATTAGAGCGATATGACATAAGCAATGTTTTGCATGCAAATTAGTTTTGTGAGTTAGTGTTAGTTAGTATCAAATAATTATTTCGGTTTTGTCTAATTTTGTAAAAAGTAAGCAATTTAAAAATAATGGGAGTTAGTTCGTCCAGAGCGTCAACCAAGTATGTAATAATAACCAGAAAACAACAGAAAATAAGAGAAACGTTAAGTTTTCACTGCCGCGACGGTCCATTGTGGTCCAAGTTATTTCAAATGCACAATTTTTTTATGCTATGATTAGTTGTCTCGAAGCTTTCGTTTAGATTAAAACATTTAATTAATCGCTACTTACTGACATAATAAACATTAAGCACTACCATGGCAAACACGTTCCCTTGGTTATTGATTCCCCTGCACATGTATGGTCCCTTGTCCTTTATCTTTGTATTCATGATAATAAGGCTTTTWCCAGATTTTACATGGCGTCCTTTTGGCATGGCTTTCGGTGCGCGTGTCCACTCGATCCGCGGAGGAGGAAACCCAAATATATTGCATGTGATGGTTGTGTTCCAGTYTTCATAACCAGCGACGTAAWGTGGAGGCAGAACCACAAATCGTGGAGCAACTATTTCAAAGACAAAGATATATTAATATTTTTCCAGACATGGGCGCAGACAAAAAAATTAGCAGCATCTTGCGCCTCACGAATCATTCGCTCAATTTCTTATAAAGAATGTTGTGAGAAGGGGTTTGTAAAAACCTTGTGTTTGAATTAAGGAATAAAACGGATTTCCGTTTTTGATACTCTCATAAAAATACGCGAGATGTAGAGAGAAAACGAGAGAAGCGTACGAAACCGAGACTCGAACCTTAAATTCACCTAACTTCAAACATTAGGATGAATGAACTCGAATCCACTTCTCAGAACTGAACTTGGACTCAGTTGAATGAGAAAAAAAAACATTTTTTTCACTAGATACACCGTCTAAAAAAGAAATTGAAACTAAATCGTAGTATCTTTTTTCTAATCGACTTTACCATTTACAATGAGTTTCATTTTCGCTGTTGCTTGACCAATTAAATTCTTTGCTTTCAATAAGTAAACCCCATGGTCTTGGAACTTGACATTGTTTATTCGTAGAGCACCAGTTGCATAGAATCGCTCGTCTACTTTCTTGTTGTCTTTGTACCACGAGATTTTAGGTTTAGGAAAACCAGAGGCTTTGGACGGAATGAC